TAATGTTCACAATCTGATGTTTCGAAAAGTGTTCATATAGATTCATCACATTGCTGATCGGTTACCTTGAGTCTTCGGCACAATGCCAAATTCCACGGCTACGCGAGTTCGGCTCACTCAGCACAATAACATAAGCTATATTATAATACTTGGCACAATAAAAAATGTATAAATTGAAACTATAGGAAATTCAATTATAATTAAAGCTTTAGTTTTGAAAATCTTGCTAATATTAATAAAATTTCTTTTCATTTATTTTATCCCTCATTTAGATTCATAATATCAAAATTGTTTCTACTTTGAGAGAAGAACTTTATTGCTCACGTAATAATATATGACAAAGGAAGAAATTATTATTTTTTCTTCAAAGTGAAAAATAAAAAGATTAATAGAAATATATATCGAATAATAAGTAATGTTTTCTATCTTGAAAACTATGAAGGCTTTATCTACATTTTTTCTTATCTGTCCACTTCACAATTTCCGTCGAGAACAGTAATGAACGATTATATACATATATAAGTGAATCATTATTTGTTTTTAGAAATGAAATATGATGAAACGAATTTCAAATCTGACATATAAGTGCTACATAATCTATGAGACTTTTTAGAAACTTTCTATGATTTTCAAAAGTTGTTAAAAGACACTAAAAGAGATAAAAAAAATGAATAGTAAATTTGAAATTTGCTTTTTAATCTAAAAAGATTGATCATTCATAGAAACGTATTTACTTAAATACGAGGTTATCTGTACATCCGTTAGAGATAAATTTTCTTAATAAATATAATATATATATATATTCTTATAATATATTCTTAATATATATTCTTTAAATATAAGATTATCCAATATATCTCCGTTACAGATAAATTTCTTAAATTTAATATTATCTGTTATGACTTAAGAGATGGAAAAATTTTGATTATGTGAAAAGAAATTGATTCGACATATATAAAATATTTTTTATATGAATTTTATATTTTTGAAAAATTAAATTTGAAAATAGGAAAATTAATATATTGGTAATAAAAGTATATATATTAAGCTCGTAAACTAAAAAAAAGTTTTTTTTAGATAAACAAATTCTTGTTTCTAAAAAGGAACTTGTTATTATATAACTTTGATTTTTAATTTGTTATATAAAAGTATCCCTTTTTTTTAATAATATAGACTAGATAATGTGAATCATCTCGTATATATGTACATATGTATAATCGTGTTGGAATATTCTTGAATCATAAACAATAAACGTTCGCAGGATTGAAGTAGGAATGCGTCAACCATGATAAATTGATGTCTAAAGTATAGCTAGGGAAAGGTATTAAATATTGTTTCATTAAAATATTGTACTTAGTTGTATTTAATTGAACTACTATAGTATATAAATAGAATTATAAACAAAGGGAGGATTTGTTGAGAAAACACTTCAAATAAAATTGAATAAATTTTAATAAGGAAAGTGAATTTATATTACTTCAAAAATGTTGAAATAAATTAAGTTTATAAAAGATTAATCTAAAATAATCTAAGAACTTTAAGGTATTTCAAGATTACTTTAAAATAATTTTAAAAAATTTAAAGGTTTTATTATTTTTATTTGCACCTCTCAAATTTTAAAGTAAAAGGCAGTACGACATCATTACCAAATGGAATCGCGGTAGTACTGCATTTTCTCGTAAACAAAATTTATAAAATCTATACAAGATAAAATAAAAAGCATAGTAAGTACTGTGAGGATTTCCATTTGCATACTAATAAAATAATTTGGTTAAAACAAGCTTACTTTCATAATTTTTAAGTTCCTATAATTTCTTTTAAATATTTCTTAAATATAAATTTTAAGATTACTTTAAACCAAAATTGAAAATGTCCAAATATACCTTCCATATTTCTTGTGTTTTCTCTTAAATTTACTCTTTCTTTAATTTTTCAGATTTTCTCAAATAAATTTTCCCAAAGGATTTATTTCTTGTAGTTACTAAACTAATGTATATATTCATTTACTTATATTTAAATTACTTATATTTAAATGAAATAAATATACTTGAAGCTTAGCAAAGGCGAGATAGAAAATAGTGCAGTTCGGTGCGTAAAAATTATGAAAGTAAGCTTGTTTTAACCAAATTATTTTATTAGTATGCAAATGGAAATCCTCACAGTACTTACTATGCTTTTTATTTTATCTTGTATAGATTTTATAAATTTTGTTTACGAGAAAATGCAGTACTACCGCGATTCCATTTGGTAACGATAATTAAGAGGCATGATTTGTTGTTAGTGCCTCATATACACATTCATCATAGGATTTAAATGCTGATTGATGATTTATGCTACTAAAGATTTTAAAAACAAAAAACTATATGACAATTGTTAAATCAAATTATCTAAAATGCTTAGAACATTATAAAGTATAATATGAAAATGCTAAATATTTTCATATCGATTTATATACGACTACGATCTAAGTATCGGATAAGAAAAGGTATAAATATATCGCGTGCTCATGAATTTTATCTCTTTTCAAGAAATACATAATTTAAATGCTCATGAAAAAAATAGCAGGCATACCAATGCGACTATTATACGTTGGTGCCAGGCTAAGACTGACAGAATGATTCAGAAATTCGAAAAAAAATCAATAAAAAGGACGTATAAAAAGCTTATATATATATGCTATAAAAAGATTATATTTCTCAAACAATACAAAGACTAAAATTATATAATATAAGACACATATATTATGTGATATAAGATGTCTTTTTAAGTTATTTTTTAGACGCAAAAAAGTCTTATGACGCGATTTCAAACACTTTTTGTTGTCTGGATTATAACTTTTGTTTATACAAAGTATAAACAAACTTTTGTATATAAAAAGTACTTTACTTATAATAATAGATATAGTTCATATAAATATAGTATATTACGATGAATGATAAGAAGATATCAAATACTATAAAGGATTCATTTAATAAAATGGTTTAAAGAGGTGTACGCGATATGCGCTTACAACAAATTGCCTAATTTCATCGCTTTAAAAAAAAAAGTTATCAAGAATAGGAGGAATATTATATGCTTTACTTGCTTTATGAAGTTACCTATTATAATGAAAATATTAACTAATGAAGATTCACAATATAATTATTTGTTAAAATTTTAACAATTTATATATTATAATTAATTATGCGCATGTGTGGTGGGATGTGAGGAAAATTCATTTATTGGACATATAATGGAAGAAGGAAAAATTTACACAATTTCTCACTTCTGGTAATAATTCAATATAGTTAAGGGATAGGAATTTGAGGACCTCTTTCACCAATTTCTAGTTAAATTAATCGGTGATCAATTCGTAGAAGTGCCAACAGCAATTTAATGTATAAGAATGTCTTCTCTCTCTTCCTTTTATAAAATAAACTATATTTAATTCTCACGTACGTTAGCAATCATGATAATTGAGTTAACCATCAATTAGCGTTAATCTGAGTTGGTGAAAGAGATCCTTTTAGAGAGCTAAATCAGTATGTAAGTAGTTCCGAATAAGAATACCGTTTACAATTAGAATCAATGTATCTATATAACAAACACATTTTCTTATTTATAAAATAAATTTTACAAAATATGTATACATCTCTATGTATAAATCTCTAAAATTAATCGTATAAATGTTTAAAATACTTTGTCAAAAATTTAAAAAATGCAGCTTTAAAGAGAAAATGAAAATATATTTAAG